TATTTCCAGTAGTAAGACGTGCTGTAAACAACGACCGCATCTAACTTTCACTGTGCACCTACTAAGCGCTAGGCACCAGTCCAAGCATGCACATGGAGCATCTTAACCTCAGAATAGCCCTGTGAGTCCTGCACTCCCCACCTCTCAGAGCAGGCAAATGCAGGACAGCTGTTGCGCTGCCCCCCCAGCACTTCATCTGGCCACACCAGTGCCTCCCACGTAGTAGGCGTTTATTAACTCTAGAGGCCAATGCACCAAATTTGTGCAAGAGCAGGTCTTCCTCACCCCCCCCCCCCCCCCCGCCCTGCCGGCACCGGCTTCCCTCTGGCACCCAGGACCTGGGCTTACCTCGCAGCTCCCTGCCACACACACACACACACACACACACACACACACCCGCCCCTCGCTTCGTCCTGAAGGACCTCAGGTCTAATTAGCATATTATGCTTTCATTATTATAGATTACTCTGTAGTGGCAATTTCTTCTGCAAATGGTGACATTACCTACAGTGACTCCAGCTGTGCTTAAGAGCTGGGCAGTGGCTGCCACCCGAGGGGTGTTCTGACCCCGCAGGCAAGGGGCGAGGCCGCCAGGCTCCAGGGCTTTGGCAAAGCTCTCACCTCGCCCCCAAATGCCAGCAATCAGAGTAGCAGTACAGGTAACTAACGATACAGGTAACAGAACAGCTGGCCTCCACTCAAGGCACCAGCCCCTCCCTCTCCGTCCCCTCCTCAGAGAACGCCTGTTAGGAAGGAGCATTATCCCCCTCCTTCCAGGGAGGGAGTGGAGGCTCGGCAGTGGCAGGATCGAACCACACTCCAAGCCCACCAGAGTTCCTCCAGGTCGGAAGCCCGGCCCTCCACGGGCAGCTCTGCCTGGGGTGGAGCTGTTGTTTCTTGAAGTCCAGAAGAGGGGTGTCAAGACCCCAACTGCCCGTCTCCTCTTCTATTCTCCCAAACCCACCACAGCTGCCCAGGCTGAACCAGCCCAGGGAGCCGAGGGAGACACAACCTGGGTCCCACCTGAGCGGCGGATGCTGGGTGCGGCTTCCTCAGGTGGCCCAGGGCCCAGCACTGTTTGTCAGCCCCAGGAAGGTGGTGCTGCCTCGACCCAGGGCAGGCACACCCAGGCCCTCTCCCGGGAGCCTCTGGGACCTCTCACCCTCTGCTTCCCCCCCAGAGGCAGGACCTGGCTTCAGCCTCCCACCCCCACAGCCCAGTGCACCAGGACTCCCTGCGGCCCCCAGGCCTGTGCACCTCCCTGCTCTGGCGCTGCACCTTCTCAGCCTCCAGGGGCTGCGCCTGGAGAGGGCAGAATTCCTGCTTACCCATCTCTGCACACCCAGGCCTTGCACTGCCTGGCACACAGTAGGTTCTTCCATAAGCTCTGAATGATCAGATAGATGTGTATCAGCCCAAAAACCACAGCAGTGTCCTGGCCGGTTTGGCTCAGTGGATAGAACGTCAGTCCGCTGACTGAAGCGTCCCGGGTTTGATTGTGATCAAGGGCCTGTACCTCGGTTACAGGCTCGATCCCTGGCCCTGGTCAGAAGGCAACCAATTAATGTGTCTCTCTTACATCTATGTTTCTTTCTCTTGCTCTGTCTCTCCCCCTCCCTTCCACTTTCTCTAAAAAAAAATCAATGTAAAAATATCCTCAGGTGATGATTAATTAAACAAACAAAAAAACACAGCAGCAAGGCCAGAACCAGCCTCCAGCCCCAAACAAGAGCTGCAGAAGCCCTGGTGGCCCTCCTGCCCTCTGGGGGCCCTATGGGGGCAGATAAGTAGGGACCGGCAAGTTTGGCCCCTCCCAGGACAGACAGGGACCTGCACCAGAGCAGAGGCCAGAGGGAAGAGGCTGCTCCCCACCGCGGGCAGCTCTCTGAGGCCCGAGGAGCAGAGCTGCTGGCCAGGCCAGCACGGACTACTGGGGCATGGCTTTGGTGCATTCAACCATGACCAGGCTCAGGATTTGATGAGTGGGAGGGGGAAGGAAAGATGTCCTTTAAAACTGGCCGGGATGTGACTATGAGTCTCGATCCAGAGGCACTGAGAATCAACGATGAGAGAAGGTGTCGGCTGTGAAGTGGGGTTTGGGGTTGCAGTGCTCTGTGGGCAACCTGGTGGGTGCCATGTGCCTCTCCTGCGGGGTCATGTGTCTCAGTCCATACATGCCATCCAGCTCACCTCCTGCAGGAAGCATGGCAATCTTGGGAGCTCGTGGAAGACCCAGCTGGACAAGTGGCTGGGAGAGCCCCTGGGACTGTCCCTTTCCCAGTGGACCAGCAGAAGCCCATTTAGTGGGGACCCCAGGAGAGATGGAAGAGGTGGAGAAGGATGAGAATTGCCTGGGACAGGCAACTGCACCTCCTCCCAGGGTCCCCCAGGCCACACTGCTGCCCAAACCAGATATCAGTCACAAGGTCGGCAACCTCCATCCCCACCCAGCCTGGAAAAGCCTCCAGGGATGGCCAGGCCCCTCCCCTCTCAGGGTTCTGGTTTCCTCCCTGCTGCACTGGAAGTTGAAATGCTGGAGGGGTCCTGAGGGTGATGCAGATGTGGAGAGCCTGGCAGAAGGGGTGTGGCGTCTTCCGGCAGCATCCTCCTGAAGCCCACACAGACCTGAGAGCCTCCCAACGTCCAGGGAAGAAAACTGTGCAGCCAGCCAGGGCCCAGCTACAGAGCCAAATGTCCAGAGCTGCTGACTGCCCCTCCCTGCAGAGGAAGGTTGGGGCATGGGTCTGTGTGAGGAGGTCCAGGGTAGTCTTCCATATCAGAAAGGAAGTCCTTCTGATTTACAAGCCCCAAGCACCTTGGGGAAATATTCTGGGGTCACCCAAAACAGGGGACCACTGCCTCCAGCTACTGGAGAAATCCCCAAACAGCGAGTCTTCACCCCAACCACTCAAATAAACGCCCCTGCTGCCAGTGCCCTGCCCTGGATGCCACCTGGGCCTCACAAGCAGCCTAGAGGCCGGCTGGAGCTGGGAACTGGGATGTGGGTGGCAGAGCTGCGAAGGGGATATAGGAGGGTTTCACCAGCCCTGAAGCTTTGAAGGGCCATGTCCGGAGGGCTCAGGGCGCACAGCATCCCCTGGGTACCACCAGCTCCCGCAGCTGGGGGCAGAGATGCCGCTGGGCCCACTCCTGTGCCAGGTGAGAGAGTCCTGAGCGGAGAAGGCCGAGGACAGGGACACTGCGGAGGCTGGGCCTGCGGGCTCGGTCCAGGGCTGTGCACCGCAACACTACCGATCGGGGAGTGCAGGGGCCACGGTCCAGGGCCCCCGCCGCCTCCACGGGGCGGACAGGGCGAGACAGGCCGGAGCGGCAGGGGTCCGAGAGGGTGGCCGGGGCCGGAAGAGGGGACAGGCCCTGCTCCAGGACGGGAGAGGGTCAGTGAACCACGATTCCCAGGCGCCCGAGGTCTGAGGAACTCCGCGGGGCTGGACTTCCGCCGGGGCCAACCCTGGAGAGCAGGTCGGGGGGCGCGGTCTGGGCGCCCCATCCCGTGACGTAAGCGCGCAGCCGTATATAAGCGTGCGCGTCCGCGCGTGCGCAGCTCCGCGCGTCTCGGTCGTGGAGTGGCCTCCCGCCGTCTCCTCTGCAAATGGGCTCCCCGGCCTAGCGCCCCCGTTCCCGCCCCCGTGATCGCGCGCCGAGGTCCGCGAGGGGTCGCCGCCAAGGTGAGGGCGGCGGGGGCGGCCCCGTGCGTGACGCTGGCCGGACGGGTCGACAGAAGGAAGCGAGGACGCACCGGGAGCGGGCGGAGCGGGAGGCGCGGGGCTGGGGGACGCGGCGCTGGAGGCGCCAAGGGCGGGGCCGAGGGCTATCGTGGGGTGGGAACGGGCCCCTGGGCCGGGTGGGTTCGGTATCCCCGGGGGCAGCCAGGCGGGTTCCCGGAGGCGCAGGTGGTGCCCCACGCACAAAGCGCCTTTGTTCCGCGCGCGCGGCCGGTTCGGGCTGGTTAGAGCTGCTGGCGCCCGGCGTGGAGAAGGCGGTCCGCCACCCGGGCGTTCCGGAGCCACATCTCGGCTCGAGATACCGGCGCCGCCGCCCCTCCCGGGAGCCCACGGAGCGGACCCGGGAGCCCGGGTGGGAAGCCCTTCCCCAGGATCATTTGGTTACCAAAGGGGCCCCGAACCCCCGTGCGCAGGTTTCCACCAGTGCACAAGCAAGAGCATGGCCGCCATCCCCTCCAGCGGCTCCCTCGTGGCCACCCACGACTACTACCGGCGTAAGTCAGCTCCTCGCCCACGGCCCCCAGGTCTGCCCCCCCCCCCCCCGCCCAGCTCTAGTCCTTTGAGAAGCCCAGGCTGCCTGGGGAATGGCTGCAGGCTGAAGCTGACCTCCTCTCCTCTCCAGGCCGCCTGGGTTCCACTTCCAGTAACAGCTCCTGTGGAAGTGCCGAGTACCCTGGGGAAGCCATCCCCCACCCCCCGGGTGAGTGCAGCAGGCCCACTTCCCTTCTGTGGCGGGAACCATCTGGAGGGGGTCCCAGGAGTGGGCAGCAGCACTGTGACCCCACTGTATTGCTCTCAGGTCTCCCCAAAGCCGACCCGGGTCACTGGTGGGCAAGCTTCTTTTTTGGGAAGTCCACTCTCCCATTCATGGCCACAGTGTTGGAGTCCCCAGAGCAGTGAGTGCACCTTCTTGGGGCCAGCGGGGGAGGTGTGGCAGCTGGGAGCAGCCTCTGACCACACGCTCTCCCCCCAGCTCGGAATCTCCCCAGGCCTCCAGCAGCATGATCACCTGTGACCTGGCTCGGGAAGCCACAAGGAAGCAGCCTGGCGGCCAGCCTGACAAAGTCAACGCAGGGTCCCCATCCTGAGTGGCCACCACCAGCCACCAGACTTCCAGAGGCGCTAGGCTCTTTGAGCCCCTCCCCCCCTCCTCCATCCCCTTCCCTCGCACCCCACCTGGCGTAGACTAGGCCGGCTGCAGCAAGCAGAAGCAGTTGGGTTCTTTTATATCAAAACAGCAACACACCAAAAAGGAAGTTGAGAGAGCCCCACTCTTTACTACCCAAGCCACACGCAAGCCTGCCTAACACCCCATAGCCATGTGCCTTGCACCAAGTGGAAAATAAATGAGAAGAAGCCAGCATCCCTGATCGTGTTCCTGAGCTGTGTGTCCAGGCAGTGGGAGAAGTCACTCAACCTCCTCACTTCCTGGTGGAAGTGGGGAGCTGGCCCTGCCCCAGGGACTCCTTGCTGGGGGGCTACCTCAGGCCTGGCCGATCCCCCACCCCTAGTGAGCTGCTGTGATGAGTGTGGAGCCTTGTGCCTGAGAGAGGTGGGCACCTGGGAGAGTGGGTGGTCCGTGATCTGTGTAACCCTGAGGTCATGTCTACTAGGTCACTCAGCCCCTGCCCCTTGGCCTCTGGGAGGCTCTGGGTTTTGGAGCTGTCAGCTAGAGGGACCTGGTGCCCCTTGAAAGACATGAGGCCCCTCAATACCAGGGAGGGAGGGGTAGGGACAGGCAAAGGTTGTCCCTACCAACTGGTATGGAACAAGCACTGAGCCACACTGTCTGCCAGGTGATTTCCCATAAGTGCCACCGCTAGCTCCTGTAGGACACTGAGCAGGGCCCTCCCAGCCCAGGAGGGGTCGGGCCATGACCCCAGGCACTTACAGCTAAGGGCGGGGGAGTGGGGTGTCCTCGCCACAGGCAGCCCAGCTTTGGGCGAAGTCCAGCTCAGGGAGCTGGGAAGGGTGGTTGTGCAATCTGTCTGCCTGCCTGGTGTCCACAGGTCTCAGTGGCCAACAGAATGACCACATCTGTTGGCCAGGAGAGGGCAGCTTAGTGGGTGGGGGCATGGTGTGAGGTGGGACTCAGCTGGCTGCTGAGGGAGCCCTCCTCTCCCGCCCCCTCCCCTCCCACCCTGTGCTATAGATAGCTGCATGAGTCTATTCCAAGGCCACTGGGGGGGCTTACCCAGGCTCTCCTGTGGTCCCAGAGCTGGATGGGCAAGTGCCCCACCCCATCTTTCTGGCCATAGTGTCCAGACCAGGCCCCAGAGCCTTCGGAGGCAGCTCCTGAGAACAATGGCAGGGAGACTGGGGCAGCCACCTGATCCTGGGATGGTAGGTGACAGCGCCCAACCACCAGCAGAGCCTGTTTGAGTGCTGGGGTGTCTTCCCAGCCTCGAGTCGGGGCAGGCAGGGGCCAGATGGCAAAAGGAGGGCACAGCCAGGACCCAGGTTTCCACCATGTACTGGCTGGAGGGCCAAGCACTGGTCCTGACGGCTGATGGACTGGGTCAGTGCCAGGCACAGCTCCGCTCCCCACTCCTGCACGGCTCCACGTCGAGGCAGGTGGGAGGGCCTGGCATGTTTCTGGTGCTGGTGTCTCAGAAGAGGCAGTCTCGGCTCCAGGCCGCAGAGCATCTCTGCCCAGGGCAGGGCGCCCTGCTGGCTGACGCAGCTTCCTGCCCCGAGTATACAGTCTGGATCTAGGCGCTGTCGTGCCTTTGCCCCCCTCCAGGCAGTGGGTGGGGAGGACCACACTCGGCACTCAGGTTGGGTTCTCGTAGCTGGTGAAGCTGCAGAGCTGCTCCCGCAGGGCTCGGAAGCAGGGCCTCCGCTCAGGGCTCCGGTGCCAGCACGCGAGCATCAGCCTGTGGGCGCTGGGCGGGCACTCGGGGGGACAGGGCATGCGGTAGCCAGAGTCCACTCTCATGAAGGCCTCGTGGTTGGACATGCCTGTGGAGAGGACAGGGCGACTGGGGGGCCAGTGCCCACGGGGGACAGGGCGGCTGGGGGGCCAGTGCCCACCGGGGACAGGGCGGCTGGGGGGCCAGTGCCCACCGGGGACAGGGCGGCTGGGGGGCCAGTGCCCACCGGGGACAGGGCGGCTGGGGGGCCAGTGCCCACCGGGGACAGGGCGGCTGGGGGGCCAGTGCCCACCGGCTACTGTGCCTCCTCGGATGCCTTGGGCCACGCTCTCACCCACGGCACCCCACACCCATTTCCTACGCCCTTGCTCTGGTCAGCACCCAGGGGCTCAGAATGGTGTCCAGGTAACAGGTCCAAAGTGACAGCCACTTCCCACACTGCTTGGGCCCAGTACCTGGATAGGGCGTCTGGCCCCTGCTGAAAATCTCATGGAGGAGAACCCCGAAGGACCAGACGTCGGATTTGATGGAGTAGTGCCCTCGGGAGAGCGCCTCTGGGGCGGTCCACTTGTAGGGGATTTTGCGGTCGTAGGAAAGGTAGATGTCCTCCTGCAATGACAGACAAGCTGGGGGAGGCAGTGGCTGCCTGCACCTCCAAAGCAGGGACAGGCATGGGAGCCGGTGCCTGGTGAGCAGGGCTGTGGCTGCCTGCCTGTAGTGTGAGCAGTTGGGACACAGGCCATCACAGCCACTAGAGGGGGATGCGGCCCACCTTGGAGACAGGCTGACCCAGGGCTTGTGGGCAGAGAAGACAGACGGGCGGCATAGCCCAGACATGGGGCCGCGTGACCCAGCAGCACAGTGGCCACTGGCAGAGCCTGCAGATGTGCTCAGGTTCACGCGTTCAGAGATGCCGAGAAAGGCTGACTGGCCACCACTGGACAAACTCAGAAAGGCTGGCAGTCGCAGTCAGCCTGCCTTCTCCGGTGACTGTCCCCTGCTGGCCACCGAGTGAGGAGGGAAACGCCTCAATGAGGAAAGGACCACCGAAACGGCAGCTCCTGAGCGGCCCACGCAAGGAGCAAAGGCATGAACTGGCACTGGCAGGTGTGCAGGAAACAGGTGTGGCTGTCGACCGAGGGACCACGAGGCCCACTGCATGATTCTGACCTTGTGTCTCCCAGTCTCCACAATAAAACTTTCTCTGGGGGTTGGGAGGTGTTTCCCCTGAGCTCACGCACCACACGCATCCTCTGCTGCCTGAACCGCAGAAGCTAAGGCAGCATCACGAATGAAGGAGTGAGCAAGTGAAGGCTGGTCCCTGCTTCTCCCGCTCAGCAGAGACTGGCTCCTGTGGTTCCTGGACTGGCCAAGTGCCTCACACACGCCCCACCCCTGCCCCAGCTCTGAAAGGCCCCGTGAGCAGCTTCCTGTGTCCCCCCTCCCAGAGCCGCAGCCCTCCGCTCCTGTCCCCTCAGGGACCACAGAGGATGCCCTGCTCTGCCCCAGGCCCTCCTGGGCCCACCTTGATGAGCCTGGCCAGCCCGAAATCCCCCACTTTGCAAATGTTGTTCTCTCCCACGAGGATGTTCCTGGCAGCCAGGTCCCGGTGGATATAATTCTGCGACTCCAGGTAGCACATGCCTTCGGCCACCTGGGAGGCAATGTCCACCAGCTCCAAGACAGGCAGGGCTTTCTCATCAGACTCTGCAGAGGCAAAGGGGCCGGTCAGTGGTGTCCTCTGCCGGCTCTGTTGCAGCGGAGGAGCTGGGCAGAGCGCGGGGCTGATTTAAAATTGGGACAGCGGCCCCCACGCAGCCCTTCCAGAGGCAGTTCTGTTTCAGCCCTAAAGAGGTTCATACACATCTATACTTCGCTTCGGGGAACCTGAAGCAGGGCTGTCAGTACACAGGCACCCGTCAGATGGAAAACAGAAAGGCCCTACAGGCCACTGGCCAAGGGAGGCAGCACACCTGTGTGGGAGTGCACAACCGTCAACAGTGTCCTTTCTGAAGAACCGTCAGTGACATGGGACAGTGCCTGCAACGCGCCGCTTCTGTGAGCAGCTCGACAGTCAGACTTTTGGTCAGGAAGACTAGATCCCAGGTGCACACATCACATACTGGCCGTCATCCTACATTTCTTCCCGTTTCAACATCTCTGACACTGGGCCACACCTGCCCCTGTGGCCCTCCGCTCAGCCACAGCCACCGTCCGGCTGGGTGGTACAGGAGACCCTGGGGCTTGTCAGAGGATAAGACTCAGGTGGCCATGGCCGCAGGAGTGAGAGGGGCTTTCCTTGTCGTATTTGTCCTTATCTCTATTCCTCAGACTTCACAATGAACAGACAGCACATTTAGCACACATGTCGCACACGTTCCTTACCCAGGAAAGGCCCGGCAATGCGTCAGGAGACCCCGGCGTCCTGTGCATGGTGTGGGCAGTCAGGGTTTTCTTCCTTCAGCGTCCTTCCTGACCCCTCCCCCAGCGAGCATGTGTCACTTTGGTCCCTGAGAGCAGCCCCCAGGCCACCCCCGCCACTTACCCCGCAGGAGCTCCAGCAGGCTCCCCTTTGCCATGAGCTCTGTGATGATGTACACGGGGTCCCCCACGGACGCCACCGCATACAGCGCCAGGATGTGCTTGTGCCGAAGCTTCTTCATGGCCTGGATCTCCGACTGGAACGTGTGCTGGTGTAGGAGGTCGTCTGCAAGATGGGCAGGTCGGTGGGTGCAGGCCCAACAACCACCCTCAGTAACTGTGGGTGCTCTCTTGGGCCCAACTCCCAAGGCCAGAGTGCAGGGCAGATGCACTGGTCCCACGGCAGCCCCGCACCCCATAGGGGTCCCCATGAGGGTCCGCCACACCCACTCCACTCTGACCACACCCAGGCACCCTCATACCACTTTGGCCCACCCCTGCCCCAGCCACATGAGGAGCTGAAACATGCCCATGTGCTCCCGTGGGCCCTGGGCCGCTGGTTCTTGCCCCTGGTGCCTACCAAGGAGATTGCAGATGGGCCTGTCAGGTTACTAGCAACCGTGGTTTGGTGGCTTTCCATTAACGATAAGAATTTAACAGCCACCCTGGCCAGTGTGGCTCAGTGGTTGGTCATCCTCCCATGCACAGAAAGGTTGGCAGTTCAATTCCCAGTCAGGGCACATGCCCTGTTGTGGGCTCCATCCCTGGTAGGGGGTGTGCAGGAGGCAGCCAATCAATGTTTCTCTCTCCCTCTCCCTTCCTGTCTCTAAAAATCAATTAAAATCTTTTTCGAAAAGAAATAACAATGTAATTAAAATGGAATATAAAAAAATTGATTGTGCCCTTTGTAATAAGTGCATTTAGGTAAGAACAGTTGCAACTGAGAGGAAATGTCACCTCCATGTGGCTGTAGGTGCCACAAGTGGCACAGGCAGGGCAGTGCATGGCTCACGGATGCCAGGCCCGGGCTTGCCTCAGCCCCACACCCAGTGAGTGAGGCCAGAAGTCCCTGTTGGTGGGGCTGGAGGGGGTGGTCAGGCAGAGTCCCCTGGCCTGGGGCCACTCACCTCGGGCAATCACCTTAATGGCCACACGGACCTGGCCTTTCCAGAGCCCCTCGAAGACCTCCCCGAAGTAGCCGGCCCCCAGCTTCCTGCAGAGCGTGAACTCCTCCCGGGGCCGCTCCCAGTCGGCACAGAGGGGCAGGGGCTCCCGCTCGTGCTGCAGGGACAGGCAGGGACACAACAGGGGGTGCCACCCCGTCACCCAGCCCTTCCAGAAGTCCCTCTGACCCCAGCAGCGGGAGTCCTGGTCAAGGGTCCCAGTGTCCAGGGCATGCTGTGCTCTCCAGGGGCTGCCCCTTGCTGTGTCCGGTAAACACCCACCCTCACTGCCTGCCCTGGGCCTGTGACATTGGCCCACTTGCCACTCAGCTAGCAGCTGGGCACATGGCCTTGTCTCAGAGACAAAGGACACAGCAGGGACATCCCTGACCTCTTATGGTCCAAAGGTGAGGGTGACCGGCAAAAGGGGACCATCCTCTGCCCCACCTGCAACTCCAGCTCTGTAGGACCTCAGCCAGAGTCCCCTGGAGTCCCATGCATGACCCTGAGGATCCATGTCATTGAGGAGAAAGGGCTGCGGTGGGCAGATCCGGAGCGGGGGGCAGAGGGGGCACGGGGCCTACCTTCCAGCAGGGCACAGTCAGCCGCAGGCCTTTGGACAGGCTGTGTGCCTGGTGGTGGCCCACGAGCTGGGCCAGGCTGGGGAAGGACACGGCTTCGCTGAGGTGCAGCCGGCCAGCACACCTCCAGATCCTGTAGTGCCGCACGGCCTGCCTGTCCCGCACTGGAGCACAGGGCCATGGACAAAGGAGAGCACATGAGCCGGTGTGAGCACCACAGTCTCAAGAGGAGTGCAGGCCAGGAGGGCACCACACCCAGCCTCCTGCCCTGTGTCCTCCCAAGAGTGGAAGGAGAAAACCCAGGCTGGGACCACAGGACAGCCACCCCCGCAGGGCCTGAGGTCCCCGGGACAGGCCTCGATGTCCTGGACGTCACAGCCAGAAGGAGGGAGAAAGGGTCTGGGGTAAGGAGGCACCAAGCCCGGCGCCCTTGCAGAACGGGAGAGGGGCTGTTGTACCTGAGAGGACATAGTCGGCGCCCGGCTTCTCGCTGACCCTGATCAGGAAGGCCCCTGGCTCCGTGCCGTCTGCCTGCAGTCGGTGCAAGGCTTCCAAGCGGGAGATGCAGCCGAAGAACCACCTGCAGGGGGGCCAGGAGGCCCAGAGCCCACACTGACTCCATGCTGATCCCTGCCCTCCGACCCTGAGTCCCAGCCCTGTCACCGGGACCCCCAGCTGCTAGCTGATACTGTCTCCACCCTGAGGATTCTTCTTTGCCCATCACAGAACCCAAATATCCCAAGTGGCTGGTTCTAGAAAGTCCCTAGTGACCCGGAGGCTGCAGAACAGGCATCTCCCACCACTCTGGCCTGGGCTGTCCCCTGTGTGTGGTCAGATTCACCCTGTCCCAGGGATGTGCTGTCCATCCCAGGGGACCACATGGTTCTGTGATTCTGTGACCACCTTCCGCAACCTGGGCCACAGTCAGGCTGTGTTCCAGCACCAGGGACCTGAGCAGCTGGCTGGGCACAACTGACTGGTCACACAGCCACATTTGCACACTCACCCACACACTCGCCCCATGCCTACACGCCAGCAGCCAGCACCAGGGCATGGCGAGCCCTGGACTCTGGGCTGCAGGGTGGGGCCGGCCATCTCCCAGGTGACCTCTGCTGCCAGCTGCTCTGTTCTTGGCACCCCAACTCCCTCAGTACCATTGGAACTCAGGCCCCTGCACGGAAGACCACTTCCCAGCACAGCCCAGCATGCACACCTCAGAGGACTCCCTGCTCACCCCGCACCACGCTGCCTCCCCCCTGCCTCCTCCAGCTGGTCCTACCCCGCAGCACACCCGCTGAGAGACCCTGCCTTCTGAAGCCGACCTGCTTCCGGCTGAGCTTGCTCATTGCCAGCCTCCCCTCGGTAGGCGGTCATCCCTACACGTGTTCACTGTGCTGCCCACACACAGCGTGAGCTCAAACAAGGTGGGTGCACAGGCTGGACACCCCCTCCCCGAGCTCCGGGGAGCCAGCTCAAGCCTCGTGGGTGCGCCCATCGAAGGCTGGCCTGTGGTTCAAGCATCCTGGGCAGCCTCTCAGGGAAGCTGCCCGCTCCCGGAGCCACCTTGCCATGACGAGGCAGCCGTGAAGGTGCAAGGAGCAGGTGCCTGCAGCCCACACCCGAGCAGGGCATGTCGCAATGACCTTCCTCTCTCCCTAACTAGGTCGCACATCTGGTTTCAGTTGGTTAGAAGGTGAGCAGAACTTGGCTCCCCAAAAGGTCCAGCCCTGCCTTGGGTTCACTGCGGTCCAGCCACCTGGGAGCCCCCTGCGGCCTCTTCTGTCCTCTCTGGGTCCTGGCACCACGAAGTGATTATGTGGGAGCCCAGGGGAGGGGCCTCAGGCCTCGGCTTCCCCCCAGATGCCAGTCGGCAATGCTGTACAGCCATGGATGGTGGGGTCCAGCCCCGACTTGGGGGCCCAAGGAGACGAAGCCACAAGTCCTCACCCTCCTGGGCCAGCCCTGCACCCCTGCCCCTCCCCGAGCCTAGCCACAGGGCGCCGAGCTCTATTCCCTGGAGGCCCTGCCCTGCTCTGAGCTCTAATGGACTGCAGGGCCCAGGGACGAGGGGTGGGGGTGGGGGAGCAGCTTGGTGGCCGGCAAGGACCACGGGGCACTCACGGCTCAGACTCCACCGTCTCCCTCTCGGCCAGGTAGTTGTGGGGCACGTAGCCTTCAGCCAGGGCCCCGCCCTCTGCGTCCAGCAGCGTGGCCCACCACCACTCCTCCTCCTTCCGGGACACGTGGAAGAGGTCGCCTGCCCGGAAGCTTAGCTCCTGGTTTGTCCGGGCCGTGAAGTCCCAGAGGCCCACATACTGGGGGCCCAGGCGGGCCCGGCCCCGGGACACCATGGTGTCTAACGTGGAAGGACCCAGCCACCTGGCCTCCCCTGCCTGTCGCCCGGCTGCTCTGAACACCGGGGCTGGGAGGTGTGGAAGGGCAGGGCCAATTCTGACAGCCACCCACACCCCCAGCCAATGAGCTGCCCACTTCCCTAAGCACCTGGGCCCAACCCTAGAGGGCCTGGCAGCCCCACCTGTTCCACCTCCTGGGCCAGGTCAGTCTGGGCGCTGCTCTTGCCCACCCTCTGTGGGAAATGTGCCCACCCAGCGACCACGTGGCTGGGCCTGAGCCCCAAGAGAGGGAGGGCGGAGTGACCAGCCAGGGCCCCCTGGGTCCGCCTTAGTGGAGCCTGGACCATGGGGGGTTTTGGAGCTGGGTCAGGGACAGAGACCATGGACAAGGCACTCCCTTCCCTGACCTCAGGGCCGCCGGGAGGGGCTGGTGTGGCTGCCACGGGCAGCCCAGGGTGACGTGGGTCCGGGGTCAGCCTGCTGGCCTGGGGCCTGAGTGACTTCCTGTCTGGGGAGGTGCCAGGATTTGCTGCTACATCAGGAGGCTGAGGACAAATGAGCGAGTCCTACTTGTTGAAACGCTCCCTTCATCAAGGAGGAGTAAGGCCCTGCTCGCCCATCTCGAGGAAAGAACAGGAGGCGTGCTATTTAACAAGGTCATCCATGTGCTGTGCCGGGCAGCCCCACTCAGCACTGACCAAGCTGCGTGGGAAAGTGGCCGCGGGCGCCCTGGAGGGGGCAGGGCTTAGCGGGAGCAGGACACAGAGGGGTGGGCAGCTTAGCGCCTGTTGGGCCCAGGGGGTTCCAAGCCCTCCTCAACTGCTCACCAATACACTCCAGTCCAAGGGGCCTCGAGTTCCTGGTGCGGACGAGCCTGGGGCTCTGGCTGAGTCACACCAGGAAGCTCCAGTTTCGAGACTATGTCCCAGCCCCGCCCAGAGGCTCCGGAGCACAAACCTGTCCAGCACATGGCTGGTGAGACACCCAAGGTGAGCCCCACGCACACCTGCCTCTCTGGCCTGTGACCACGCCTCGCTCATTCCTTCCCTCTGAGGCTGCCTGCCCAGCCCGCCCACACACCCCAGTGCCAGGCAGAGAGGGTGAGCCTTTCCTAGTGGCCGGAGCCCCTGCCCAGAGGAGTCCCTTGCTCCCCCCGAGCCGGAGGAGCTCAGCTCCAGCCCTCACCTTCTGGGGCCCAGCTCCTCGGCCCAGCCCAGGAAGGAAGGGCCCGCAGCTGCTGCCCAAACCCTCCTGCCCCCACTCCCACCAGGGCTGGGGCGGCCTACCCGGGGGTCTGAGGCTCTGGGGACTCCTGCCCTCCCACTCAACCCTGATCCAAAGCCAGATGCACCTGAGCCTGATGTGTCTGGTTCCTACCCCATCCCTGTGCTGCCCCCACCGCTCGCCCCCAACTCAGCCCCAGCAGCCTCTGCTCTCTGAGCAGCCCTGGGGGGTCGCTTATCTGCACCCGAGGGGCTTGCCTGCCTCTGTCCCTTCTGTCCCACAAGCCTCTGGGGTATAGCTGCCAGTGTGGGGCTCCCAGGGAGGTGGGGGTTGGGGACCCTGGAGGCAGACCCCACCCACCCGCTCCTCCTGCTCCTCCGTTTGTTCATCCATTCGCTCCAGAGCTGGGCAGGTGAGGCACCTCCTCACTCGGCGATGTCAGCTGGTGGCTTGGAATCCGAGCTGGGAGCTGCCTCGCTCTGGAGACGCTGCTCCCCTTCCCGGGAGAGCTGCCTGCAGCTGCCCGCCTCCCACAGCCGCCTCCACGTGGCCTGACTGCATAACCAGGTCGCGTTGGACTCTATGCCACAGAGGCAGACGAGTCACCCGCCCCCCAGACGGCTTGCCATGGTAAGACCAGCCCCAGCCGCCCTCAGCTCCAGCCCAGGGATATGGAAAGGGCTGTTCTCGCAGCTCCTGCAGGGCGTCAGGGGATCATCTGCCTCTGGCTGCCCGGGATGGGGGCTGGGACACAGGGGCCAGCTCTCCTCCATCATGACGCACCAGCTCTGCTCTGGCTGGGGCTGAGGCCTGTGGTGACGCACGTCTGTGCTGCTGACTTAGTGCACACATGTTTATTGAGGGCTGCCTCCCTGCACACACAGGGGCTGCACACAGGCAGAGGCGTGCATGTGCAGGCGGTGCTGCATCCCACGTGCCCAGAGCCTGGGGCCGGCCCGGGAGCCCCACACCAGCCCCTTCAACAAGGCCCTGGCGGAACTCTGGGGAAAATTGGGAAGCCCCACCTGCTGCTCTTGACCCTGGGAGGGGGTCCCAGGCGGGAGGGACCTCAGCCGGCTCAGAGCTTCTCCCCCAGTCACCCTGAGGGGGAGTAAACCCAGCTCGACAGGCCTTCTCTCAGGGTCCTGCCCATGCCAGGGACATGGCCACGCCGGGCAGAGGACGCCAGCCCCTCTGCTCTCCAAGTGCATGTTTTTGTATGTTGGCCTGTGTATGCACACCTGTGTGTGTCAGCACTGAGGCCCACAGCCAGGGGCTCTGAGGGCTGTAGGTCCGGCACCCTGTATGAGCTGAGGCGAACATTGTCCTGAAGAGAGGCCCAGGGAGCAGCCCAGCCCCGGCAGCGCCCAGGTCATGTGAGGGTGGGGTGGAGGCACCTGTGGAGGGTGCCCAGCGCCGCCTGCAGCATGGCAAAGGCCGGCCGCTCCTCCGGGCTGCCTTTCCAGCACGCCAGCATGAGCACGTAGGCCTCGGCGGGGCAGGCGGCCGGGCGCGGAAGCCGGTACCCTCTCTCGATCTGCTGCAGCGTCTCGTGGTTGCTCATTCCTGGGGAGGAGGAGTCACCGTGGATCCAGCCCCCAGCCTTCCCCAGACCCTGTTCCATGGGCAGCCTCGTGGCCATGTGCCCCTGCTGAGGGGAGCAACCCACAGGGCAGGGTGCGCCCTCCTTCGGCTGCCTGGAGGCCCACCTTCGTAGGGACACTGGCCATAAGAGAACACTTCATAGAGCAGCACCCCAAAGGACCAGACGTCCGACTTCGGGGAGTACACGCGGTAGTGGGCGGCCTCGGGTGCTGTCCACTTGACGGGGACCTTGGAGCCGCTGCTTGGCGAGTAGATGTCATCCTGGTGAGGGGACGCCGTGGTGAGATGGGTGAGGTGGCGCCCTCCGCTCCCCTGGCTCCACCGCCTGCGGGGCCGGCAGCCCCAGCCCGCACTGACCTTGAGCAGCCGGGCCAGGCCAAAGTCGGCCACTTTGCAGGCCAGGTCGTCGTCCACGAGCACATTCCTGGCGGCCAGGTCTCGATGCACGATGCGCCGCTCCTCCAGGTAGCGCATGCCCTCGGCCACCTGGCAGGCAAAGCCCAGCAGGGCTGGAGGGTTCAGGGCACGGCCTTCGGGGTCTGCAGGGGCAGCCGACACTCAGGCCACTGCCCTCTGTGCCTCAGTTTCCTCATCTGAGAGGGGTGGGCCTGTGCGGCTGCAGTGACCATGCGGGGCAAGCTGTTCCTTGGCAACCAGCCTGAGTCCCCAACAGAGACAGAGAAGGACCAAAGTGGGGAGGGGCGCTGGACGGGGTCCATCCTGACCTTGTTCAGGGGCCGGTGACAAAGATGGACCACTCCCCACCTGCACTCTGCCCAGCCTGGAACCCAATGCCCTGACTTTCTCTCCACTAGGCCCAGGCTGGCTCAGGCCAAGGGCCCTGAGCTCACTGTTGGCCCCAGCCCCCCACAGCCCTCTGAGTCTTAGAAAATCCAGCCACCAACAAGGCCTGGAGCCTTTCAAAGGCCTGTGCCAGAAGGCAGCAGGGGTCGCTGTCCTGGCCCGAAGGTCATGCTGCCCACAGACAGGCGGGCCAGTAGGGGTGCACTCACTGCCCAGGAAGGCCTGCAGGTTGCCCTTGCGCATGAGCTCGGTGACGATGTACACGGGCTCGCCAGCGGAGCACACGGCGTGCAGCTGGATGAGCCGCGCGTGCCGCAGGCTTTTCAGGGTCTGGATCTCTTGGGCGAGGTCAGCAAGTTTCATGTTGGCTGCTGGAGAGGGTGCAGCTCCAGGGCCCGTCCACATCACCCGCGGCTGCCCCGGGCTCCGGGGTCAGGGGTGGCAGGGCCTCACCCACCTGATTTGATGACCTTGATGGCCACGGGCACGGAGCCGAGCCACAGGCCTTCCCACACCTCCCCGAAGTAGCCTTTGCCCAGCTTCCTCCGAAGGGTGAACTCAGAGCGCGGCCGCTCCCACTCATCCTGCTCCGGGGGCTTCTGTGGGGGTGAGGGGCATTCAGGGCCTCTGTGTGTGGCCCTGTCAGAGCGGCAGCTTCTCCAGGGACCAGGCCTCCCCCCAGCACGTGCTCAATGCTGGCTCTGGGTGGAGCAAGGGGTGCCAGGTGCTGACCTCCCTGAGGCTGGGCACCATTTGCTGAAGAAGGACCACTGTCCACAAACACTCATCACTGCCCCTCAGGCTATCATTTCGGCCCCTCGGCAAACGGCCGCGCTGGGACCGTGGTGGAGAACTGCAGCCCCAGCTCAGGGGCGGCTCCTGGGGCAGGTCCTCAGGATTAGCATCTCCTCCCACAGCTTCTGCCCTGGGCCTGGAGCTGCTGCGGGAGCCTCCCCATGTGCCCCCAGCCCCCCTGCCCTCCTCACTGCTGCCTGCAGAGCCTGGCATACTCCCGGCCAGGGCTCTCGGAGGAGAGCAGACCCCACTCCTGAGCAGAGCCCCCACCAGAGTGTGGAGGTTCACCAAGTGTGGGCTCCTGGGCCTCATCAGATCCCCTGCTGGCCCTCTGGCAATATGCGAGGCCCAGCAAGGCCGGGCAGGAGCAGGGCAGGGTTAGGCCCACCTGGGACACACAGGGCTGCAGTAGCGGGTTCTGGATCAGCTTCCAGTTGGCTTTGTAATAGGTGAGCAGCTCCCCCAGGCTGGGGAAGAGATGGCCCTTCTGCAGGTAGAAGCTGCCGTCAGCCGCCGTGGAGATGCGGTAGTGGCGGACTTTGGCCTGGGCCCGGACTGGGAAGGTGCAGAGATGGAGGCTGTGTCCAGACCCTCCACCACTACCACCAGGAGACTGCCACCACCCTCTGGGGAGCCAAGGCGGCCGGAGCCTTGTGGGGGAGGGGGAGTGTGGGTAGCTACAGGCAGAGGAACAGACAGGGTGCAGAGCGGCGCCAGGGGAATGAAGGCGGTGAGCTCCTGAGGAGGCCGTGGACAAACATGAAGTGACCCGCAGTAGGCGCTGTCAGGCCCTAGGTGGGGCTGGGCACAAGTGAGGACTCTGAGGTCAAGAGTGTTCTCATAAGAGAGCAACCAAAGGACCCATGCATGCATTTGAGCATAACCAATGGACACGGACACTGGGGCAGTGGGGGCTTGTCCTGGGGGGCGGGAGTGGCGGGGGGAGGTCAATCGCGGAAAAAGGAGACAGATATAATATTTTCAACAATAAAAAAGAGTGTTCTACCTTGGCACAGCTTCCCAGGGTGCCTCAGAGGGACAGAGGCATGAGGGGCCCTTGTA